ACCTCTTTGTATTATGTAGATCATCACTCTTTGTAGTATGTGTAACATTTGTTTTTGGATGTTATGTTAATTTCTGGGTTACTTACTAGTATATTACTAATTATGTTCATAGCATCAATTTTTGGTATACCAGTGTACGAGTACATGTTTTCTATATCAAAGGAACATATTCACATATCTTTGTTAAGTTTGATGGCTTGTTAAGTCTGCCATCAGGTGGAGTTGCGACCATATGGCAGGTGTAGGTAACTGTGTAGATGTTTTTGTTAGGTGTTTCGCTAATTCGTATGTAGCCGAATTTTTCCAGTTGATTATTGGTATAATAAGTGTGATTGGTTTGTGTAGTTTTACTATGCCATATAGGTTTGGACCTGTGGAGTTCATATTGGTGTATTTCCATATGTTTTCTATGTGTATGGTGTTATTACATTGTTTTACAATTATTTGATAATACTGGGTTGTAGTTAATCGTTGTGAATTGGTTATCATGTAGTATAAATGCCAATAAGATGAAACTATCCCCGTAATAAGCCATGAAGGCTCATAGGGGTATGACAGCTCGAGCCCCCCACATTTTCTCTAGACAATCGTCTCACAGATAGCGGTATTGTTGTCAGCCTTACGCGTCGGCTGCCCTTTACCTCCCAGGAAGATTTCTGGTACTCATTTCTGTTAGAGGCGAAGTCGTCCCCAGGGCCGCAGTGCGGCTGGAAGGATTCGGTAAATTGAAAAAATCCACTTCATCTGGACTCGAACCCGCGATCTTCCTATTTGTAGCATACAGCCTCAGCCAACTACGCTACCGGTTATCACGTATAGTTACTAATTTTGTGTTTGTATTCTTCTTGTATAAGTATCACTGGTGCTTTTCCTTTGTCTGCGTTTATTATTGTGTGTATTTACTACCATTTTTTTTGTTATTAGCTTCCATTCTTCTTTGTTCTTATTGTTACATTATCTTTCTGACTAATGTCTTTCATATTTCTGCAACTACAGGTCTATAATAATTTTTCTGTTTTCTGAAGCTGTCTCAGCTTCAAGGACTAGTGTTTCAATCCATGTTCTATGCTTGTGGTATAAATTACACTTCAAGTCTTTATTTAATATTGTTTGTATTTAACATATGTTTGGGGCCGCGCCATAGCTCAAGTGATTAGTCGCTGGCTTCCCACCGCGGCGGCCCGGGTTCGGTCAAGTGGCATTTGTGGTGGACAAAGTGGAGCTGGGGCAGGTTTTCTCAGAGTACTTCGGTTTCCCCTGCCAATCTTCATTCCACCAATTGCTCCACAATCCCCCTCACCTATCATCTGTGGCTGATACAATAGGCCAGAAGTGGCCGCAGTGCAAGGGACTTAGTCCCACCCCACTAGCAATAAAATAAAAATAAAAAAATAATAACATATATTTGTATAATTCTGTACCCTAGAGTAATTTGTGTTACTGTTTATTATGTTCGTCGTTTGAGTTTCAGTTGAGCTGAGTATTTTTTCTTGCTTTGGTATTCCCCCCCACCCCATTTGATGTTGTCATTTCTGGTTTATGGAGTGTTCGATACTGGTCCGTGTCTGTTGCCTATGTGGGTATGGTAAATTTGACTGTTCTCGTTTCTTTCAGTACAAGAATTTTAGTTCCTTGTTCATGCGTAATTTGTAGTTTGTGTTTATTTTGCGTGAGCTTCATTATTTGTTGATATTTTCATGTACACATGTTTTGGTAAGAGTTCACACTAATATAATTAGTAAAGATAACGTACGAATACACATGAATGACACATACATTGACATTTACATATTTTTTTTTTCCTTGGCACTACAGCCCCAGTGGGCCTAAGCCTACCTCCATGAACTTCTCCGTTCACTTCGGTTTTTCTAGATCTTACACATACGGTAGGACTCCTTGGGCGAGTGATCAGCTCGTCGCAAGGCCTCTACCTGTACACAAACACAGAAAAACGCACACACACACAAACTAAACATCCATGTCCCGAGTGGGATTCGAACCCACGATTCCGGCTTTCAAGCGAGCGAAGACAGTGCACGCCTTAGACCGCTCGGCTACTGTGACCGGCTACATCGACATATACACCCCTTATTCGAGATATTATGCAAGCGTTACATCAGATAGCAGCGCACATACACTCCCAGTCATGTTAAAAAAGCAGGACTAGTCACACTGTGCGCTCATAACATCTACATCCACAGACCACTAAACAACATAACTAGTCTAGCAGCGTGGAAAAACCTACAAGCCAATGGAGCATACGTGAGTATAAGAAGTAAACGTAAAATCACACAAAAAACATAAAACGTAATAAATAATATATAATAATACATCCTTGATATATTGCCGATAAAGACACTGACAGTAACACTACATCGACATCGATTGCATAAATATCGCGCCTAAGTCAAACTATAAACGACTATCAGTACTTACAAAACAATAAAACAACACATTATTCACATATTACAGATAAACACCACGCCGCAAAGGGAATGCAGCGCGAATAAATCCACAAGAGATACTCTCAAGCAAATATCTTTTAAATGAATAATGGGCTACGATCACAACGAAACAACATTAAGAGGTTAAAAATTACTCCATGGCATGTAGTCCGCAAGCGAACTATACCGACCGAGCAACCGCCGCTTGTCGGCGAAGTTAGTGCCAACGTTAACGGATAGAGGGTGTCACATGGTCAGCGCAACGGATCCTCACGACCGTTAATCTCGGTTTTCTAGCCGCTATTTCCTTGAAATAGCTCCTCCAGTATCCTCACGAGGCTGAGTGGACCCTGTTCCTGACCCACTACTTCTCGAAAAATCTGGTAGCGCCGGGAATAGAACCCGGGACCTCTGGATCTGTAGGCAGGAACTCTGACCACTAGACCACAGAGGCGATTTCACATTAAGATGTTACTTTATTTTAATTCAAGGTTAATTATTTTAATTAGGAAATATCACATGCGATACATAGTTTGGAGATACAGTGCAACAATTTTTTAAGCACAATACACAACAACTGATGATGGCCGTATGCGGCCGAAACATGTAGTGAGGAAAAAGGGTGACTAAGTAATAAGCTTAATTTACGATGGAAATATATGTGTACTGAAGTTATTACTTATGTGTTATGCGCAGCTGAAATGTTTCGACGAATAAACAAAATTGGAAAGGTATAGTGCATACAGAGTACAGTTTCCACAGTTATGCTTCACACTTGGCATTCTGAATGCTCCTGTTCCAAATATGCGGGAACTGACCTATACCTTTATGGAAGTATATATTTCAATGTTGTCAACCGTTGGAAATTCTAAATGGCTATACATTTTATAAGGACCTCTAATATCAGATTGCATCAATATCCGTCAAGCGGTTCTCCCTATCACTTGCGGTCGGACAGACTTACCATACATGCTTCCACTTTATGCACGTCGTGCCAGAAACCGTTCTGATAAATTACGGATTACGATAACCTGTTTCAGGCGAACTTGATAACAATGACATAAATACAACCACTATGGCTTGTTGTGTGTGACATCAGGTGTAAATAATGAACACCATTTCGAGGATAGGGACATAAATGTTGCTGGAAATCTCGTCACTCGGGCAATATGAAGGTAAAAGTAAAGTTGTCCCTGTGTTTAACTAAGCAATATGCCATGAAGGCGTATTGGGGAGTGGATGTATAGATCCAAATTTTCTTGACCTCGACACTAGCTGGATGTGAGTGGTCAGCTTCACGCCCCTGTCGCTTTACCCCCGGTACCCATTGAATAGGAGGCTGGGTGGGCCCCAGAGCCGGTCTGGACGACTTGGAGAAAATTCTTGGCCCTACCGGGACTCGAACTCTGACCCCTCTGTCGTCCAGCCCGCAGCCAGTCGCTATACTGACTACGCTATCCCGGCTCCGCCATATATGGACATACACCAAAAATGTAATTAAAATTCTGTACAGTGATGTCCACCTACTCAAGATTCAGTATGTCGTACTATTTGGGCTTTCTGAACACTAAATTCCTGCAACTCAGAAACGAGCACATAATTATAGTCACGTAATCACTAAGTTCGGTAGCCGAGCGGTCTAAGGCATGTACTGTCTTCGCTCGCTTGGAAACTGGGATCGTGGGTTCGAATCCCACTCAGGACATGGATGTTTAGTTTGTGTGTGCGTTTTTCTGTGTTTGTGTACAGGTACAGACCTTGCGACGAGCTGATCACCCGGCCAAGGGGTCCTACTGTATGTGTGTAAGAGCTAGAAAAACCGAAGTGAACGGAGAAGTTCATGGAGGTAGGGCTAGGCCCACTGGGGCTGTAGTTCCAAGGGGGGGGGGAAATCACCAAGTTAGAAGAGCTGACCTAATAATGTGCATTATTCTGACACTAATAATTCAGTACGAAAATTTAAAACCGCTAACTATAACAAACGATCCAGCATGTGTTTACAGCTTCCGGATCGTAGTGAAATATTCACAATGTACAAACACCTAACTATAAATATCTTCACAGCAACGGAACTTGACGTGGTAATAATGAGGCAGTAGTTTTATAACCACAAAGTGACAGCTGAATAATTGTCACATAAGACACACAACCTAAATTTACTCAAATGTTCGGAAGGGTGAAAAGAGTAAGTAACCTAACTCTGAAGCTTTCAAATGAGTGCAAACAGAATTACGAAACTGTCAAAAATAATATCATCCGAGCTTCTAGCTATACACCCAATGTCACATATACATTCTCCTGCACCGGCCGGTTGTCTTTTAACATATATACATATACTTCCGCAATAACAGCACTCTTGTACAGCCGGTTCAACGAACAACACGTACAGAGCAATGTCCTTCAGTATGCGAATTCCCTTTATTATAAGAAACAAGATAATCATATGTTCTGTGTTGTTGCTGGATGCCCGAAAAGGCAGTAAGAAAAGCAATATTCTGAATAAGAACAGCGTAAATCACTCGTGATAATCTGGCAAACCAAACTAACACTTACGTGTTGTTAGATGGGCATGGCTAGGTGAAACATACCTTCGAGAGTGGTTGTTAAATACTGACAGTCGGCAAGTGTGAAGTCTGGAAATATTTTGAACCACAATGTCAGACAACTCTGTAGATTATGCAACTTGACCAAATCTACACTGCAACTGCAATGGTGGTGCCGGTCCAAAAAGCCGCTACGTCTGCGCACGACGGTGGCTACCGGTGGAATAACAAATTGCAACTGCCTGAAGGTAAAACTGAAGCAAACTGGTGTAACGCCCGGTTGTTTCGTTCGTCCGCATATCGACCGCTTCGTTTATACGTGGTCGGGCAGACGCTCTACTGCAAGTTCTAGAAGTTTCAGTTCTCCGTTCTTTTACCATTCGCCACCACGCGCATGTTCCTTACCCATTCCTGCGCATGATCAAGGTGGATGCTCTGAAGGCTCCGAAGCCATTCAAGATATGTCACTTCGCTTGTGAATGCCGACGTGTAAGAAAAATTAATTTTGTTACATACTGATCATTCCCTTAAAAAACATAATTTCCAGTATTCAAGTAAATTTGGCAATATAACCCTAACCCCCATCTTTTTGCTTAGGTAACTGGAGAAATACGCAGTTACAATTATAATGATTAAGTATTGATCAATTCTAAAACTCGCATTTATGATTTAACGCAGACTTCTGTAACTGGCGGTCTCTTTCAACACACGAAATCCCAGTAATTGAAAATTTCCTTATGCATTAACAGTTTAATAGTGCGAGGTATTTGGGTTAATGGTCACACAACATACATTAAAAATGACAGAATTCTGAAATTCACAATTTAAATACCAGGAATAATTAAATGTTTTTTTTCCAAGTAACCACTCACTTGACAATGTTTCATAAAAGTCACGCTTACGCAGGAATTTCCTGGATGGTTCCATCTGATACTGCAATTCTTGCCACAGGATCATGTCTCCACTGGAGTTTCATACAAAAGGTTTTGCATGCACCCCCAGAGAAATAAATCCAGTGGAGTCAAGACACAGGCGTGAGGGGGGGCAGGAATTAAATTGTAAATATTTCAGTGATTTAACTGTGCCTTCATCAAAATATAATCCATATTGTGATCTTCTAGGTTATGATGTCATAGGGAATCAAATAGGCTACTCTAGAAGTAATGCTCTACATTTGTATTCAGGAGGTGACCAGTTTAAATCTCAGCCAGAACACTGGCTAACCTGACTGAGGTTTTTCATGATTTTCCTTAGTTTCTCAAGTAAATTCCAGAAAAGTACCTGAATCTGGCCATGACCACTTTCTTCCCAATTCTTTCCAATTCATCACTCATTAGTCATCCTGCCACTCATTGTTGGGGAACGCGGTAGCGTAGTTGGTTGAGGCACTATTCTATAAGCCAGAAGGTTGCAGGATTGCATCCCAATGAGGTGGATTTTTTCAATTGACCTAATCCTTCCAGCCACACTATGGCGGTGGGGTCGATTCAGCCTCTTAACAGAAATGAGTACCAGGAATATTCCTGGGAGTAAAGGGCGACCAGCACGTAAGGCTGACCACCTTACCGCCATCTGTGAACTGATTGTCTAGAAAATGTGGGAGCCTCAACATCTCACAACCTTATGGGCCTCCATGGCCTGTTAATGGGATACCTTTACCTTTACTTACTTACCACCCATTGTTACACCTGAAGGTGTTTTTAAATAATGAACAAAAATTAATTTTAAAGAGGCACCACATAGGGTGATAGACAGTACCAATGTTTTAGAGGAACAAAGTCTCTCTGTCGTCAGTGTATGACAACAAAATTGGTGAAGGGAGAGATAAGGGAAATGGGTTACAATTGTAATATGGGAGCCTTTTTTTTATAATTCTTAATGAGCTGGAAAGAAGAGTTAGTGAACTTCCCACAAATCAAATGGGTGTATATTTAAAGGTGGATGAGGACCAAATTACTGCAAATTGTAATTAGATCATATTTCATACACAGTCCAAACATTTTAATATAAAAGTTCTTGCATATATTACTTTGATTTCCACTTCTATTTCTGTCCAATTCTGGATGTTTAATACACCCTGTGAAAGCTTTCAAGACAAAGGGGCCAATTTCTTTTGTGACTGCAGAGGTCTTTCTTCTCAACAATGTGGCATATTGCTGAAGGCAAGGAGTGTGAAGCTGGCACAGCCAGCTGTTGCTAGGGAACGGCTCTGGAAACATGCCCATTGCTAGGCAACAGATTCATAACATGCAACAGTGGAGTAACTGGGAAGTGGTGTTCTCTCTGTGCCCCAAGCAATAGCTATGTGATACAACAGAAGAACTGTTGGGAGAAGTGTTTTCTATGTGGTACATGACAAGGCTATATAAGGAGTCGACTGTGCATTGTGCATTAGGTCAGCACCTGGAAGCCAGTTAGTACGGCGATATGATGCGATAAACCAGTCCATGAACTTAATGACTGTACCACATATGTGCTGTAGTTGTACTGATCTATCAAGTACATAAATTAGACTGTTATGGTTATTTGTAGCCATGGATTATAAGCGTTCAATAAATCCAATTATGAATCCAAACCTTATGTCTAGTCACTAACATGTGACAATATTCTTGTTAACATGAAAGTCTTCAAGAAACTATACACCATTGGACAAAAAATACAAGATAAAAATACTAAGGAGTTCAGCTTCAAATATAATGGATATTCAGCATTGGATCACAGTCACCATATTTGTTGAGTGGTTTGCACCATACAGGCAATGTTTCTCAATGGTATTCATGGCATTCAAAATAAGAAATAAGAAAAAACACTGCTATTTAATTACCAAGACACTTCATCTTTTGTGTACTGACTTATGATATAATAGCTACGATATTACAGAACAATAGTTAACTCCCTCATAAATCCTGCATTTTCATCAGCTACAATGAAATGACTATAAATACTTGTGATTGATGTTCGAACAGTTTCTACATTTCTCTCTTCTAAACATCCTATAACAGGCATTTATAACAACACAAATTCTTCACTGTTAATAGCTGTTATTACAAGAGACTTCCACTGCACAAGATTATTATCAAAAGTTCAATTTGTTTCAGCAGGCTTTATTGATGCACATTCCTATACACTTTCTTAATGCTTTAAATGGGGAAATACATTGTTCTTGAGTTTACGTTTCTCTAAACATAAATATGCATGTATACAAAACCTAACACTGCTTTCAATCATTTAAGGCATTCTTTGTAACAAAAACACAAAGACACTTTAATTTCCTAAAAACATAATTTTATCAAATAAAGATTAAAGAACACAATATACAAATGAAAGTGGTGTTAAAACAATGAAACATTTATACTTACATAAAAGAAAGAAAGTAGGAAAGAATGAATGAAAGGAAGAAGAAAGAAAGAAAGAAAGAAAGAAAGAAAGAAAAGCTAGTAGATCTTTAAGCACTATCAAAATTTGAATGATCACTGATGACCATTCTTTTCTTTATTTCTCTACAAGAGAATTATAATTTTTTAACTCAATGTACAGGGTTAACAAAAGCATCCGATTTGTTATTACTGTAGCCACAGTACTGGTTCAGATGATCTGAACTACAATTACAGCTGGAGAAACTTGAATTATCATCACTCTGAACAAAGCAGATTATGTCACGTTTCATACATAAAATCTATTCTACCTTTCTTCTTCAGCTTCTCCACTGAAAATTATCCTTAAAAGATTCTTGGTATACTCATGTTCCTCCTGAAAATAAAGTAAAAGAACATTTACAATATAGCATAATACAGCAGTTATCACAAATAATCATAATTTCTACACACTAATTCTTTGGATTAATAAATAATCTGCCCATATATAGGATTTGAGGTTCCCCTGGTAGTAGAACCACCTACCAGATCATATGGTACAATCTCAAATCATCCACACTCTTCTCATGATGCCAACATTTAAAAACCATAAGGATAAAGAAATCACTACAGGTACACATCACTATGGAGCTGGAATACCACAGTTGGTATAGTGACTAGCTGCAGTCTGGAACACTGAGGGGTCAGAGTTCAAGTCCTGTTAGAAGCAAGATTTTTCTCTTTTCCACATTGTGCAGACTGGTTCTGGGGCTCACCCAGCCTCCTATCCAAAGGGTGCCGGGGGCTCTTTCCCTGGTGGTAAAGCTGACTACTCACCTCCAAGAATACGCGGCTCTATATATCCACTCCCACATGTCATAGTGAAGTGCCTAATTAGTTGAGCATTGGGACAACTTTACCTTTTATATGTCTCTCTTTCAACAAAATCAGAAGAGTAGGAAATGAATGAAAGATACCAGCTTCTGTATACGCTGAAGATATTAATTTATTAAGTGGAAACATAAATACGATGAGGAACAAGAAGTTGTGGGAAGAACTAAACTCCTACTTTCCTTTCACTAAAATCTGAGTACGTGATATGAGAAGTAGAAAAACTTGGAATCAGTAAAACAATATGATCTGAGGTGCTGCATACTGGTAATGATGATAGGGATAAGAGGGATGTATAAAGTACATTACTGAGATGACCTTGGGTGGCATGATACACATACCAAGTTTCCTGATGATCAGTTCAGGCATTTAAGTAATATGAGGGGCAGTCAAATGAAAACGGATCAGAAGCCAAAACATATTAAAGAACATTTCTTACCTCAAAAGTAATCTCCAAAACTGTTAATACATTTATCCCACTGGGAGATAAGACAGTCAAACCCATCTTTGAAAAAGCCTGTGGGCTGTCTAAGGAACCACGTCTTTACCCGGCCACACACGTCTTCGTCCGATGCAAACCAATGTCCACGAATGTCTCTCTTCAGGTCTTCAAAAATGTGAAAAATCACATGCGGAGAGATCTGGGCTGTAGGGGGGATGTTGAAGCACTTCCCAACCAAATCTCTGTAGCGTATTCCTCACAGAGTTGGCACTGTGGGGGCTCACATTAATTTCTTCCACAGTGATCTGTCAGTTTGCCCAGATATGACCATCCGATGAGCAATAACATCAGGAGTGATGACATGATTAGCCTGTCCTGGGCTAGCATCATCTTGCAGTGACATGCTGTGTTCGCCGTAAACAACAGACATGCGACAATGAATTTCTTGTCCTCCTACTCCTTCAGCAGTCAAAAAGCGCACTACACTTCATTGTTCTTCTTTACCCACCTCCATTACTGATGTTGGATGACCATATGTAATGCTAACCTTACTTCCAGCACAACAAACAAATGACTAGTGTGCAAGGGCACGTTGTCACTGTGCTTTCCTGAGTCCCCACCACATGTTCGTACCGTAAGCAAATTCCAGTGTTACCAACTTGCGTGCTGTGTGAGTTATGTGGGGTGACCCATTTTCATTTGATTGCCCCTTATATTACAGTAATTAACAATCTGAGAGACTCTAACTGTTGGTATTACTGATGGGAGGGATGTATGAAGTACACTACTGAGATTGCCTCAAGTGGCATGATATATATACAAAGTTTCATGATGACTGGTTCAGGCATTCAAGTAATATTAGGGTTATCATCTCAGCAATCTGAGGCTACAATATTGGTATTACTGACAGCAGGGATTTATAAATTACGCCACTGAGATGGCCTCAGGTGGCATGATACACACACCAAGTTTCACAGAAATTGGTTCAGAAGGGAGGGGGTTACACATACAGATACACACAGACAGCAAGGTGATCTCATAAGCCTACTTTGTTTCAAAATACGGAAAGTAGGATAAACATAGAGAAACACTATTAGAAGTTAGTAAGAAGGCTAATGTCAAAATAAGTACAGATAAAACAATGTATATGTACATATCTCAATGCCAGAATGCAAGACAAAACTGATAATATATAGGCTGTCATTAAATACTTTGAAAATTTTGTGAAAAACATAGCTGGGGAACAACAGTAATAGATTTATATGACTGTCTTGAGGGAATTAAAAGGACATTAAATTTGTGAACTACCACTATTATCTAGTTCAAAATATTACTTCCCCCTGTGTACCACCTAAAAACCTAAAGAATAATATTCATAAAACTGTAACTTTTTATCTACTGGTTAATAAGGCTGTAAAAATTGGTCTCCTGCCTTTAAGGGAGGAACACAGATCAAAGGTATTTGAGAATTCAGTGATGAGGCCCAAAAATATACATAACACAAACCTTCACAATGTGTATTCTTCACCAAAGAGTAGGATGAAGAAACCAAGGAAGATGAGATGGGTGGGACATGTATGAAAATCTCAAGGAAAGAAACCACTTGGGAAACTTAGGTGCAAATGGGAGAACCATACTGTAATGTGGATGACCAGAGTGTTGCTAGGTAGTGGGCCTTTAAACACATGCAACATACACCTGCAACAATGGAACGAGGTTATGCAACCTGCTTATAGGCAATGGCTCAGTAAACAGACTTCCACGCAGGAGGAATGATGTCACACTGCTACGGTACTATCAAGTGACTTGTTTTCTTTTTTGTTCATGTGGTGCCTATATAACAAATATCTGTTTAACGTTAAGTCAGGGTGTGGAGAGTTCAGGAGAGCTCAAGGCAATTGGGAGACTAGTGCAGAAGGCTTACAAGAGAAGTGAATTCAACATAGTAAAGTGAGATGTAAGTTGCAGAGTGAATTGGAATCAGGAGTACAGAAGAATATAGGAGGTTGGCCTGTGAAGATTTGACATACGATTTGAAAACTTTATGAGTGCTACAGTGCAGTGATATTGGGAGTGTGTGATCCAATGAGACTGTTATACATAGTTTGTGTTGAGATCAGTTGCCAGGGGATGACTAGTGAAGACTGGGAATCCTAGTGAGTGTGCAGCGGTGAAATGTAAAGTGTGGAAATCAGTGATAGCACTGTATATCCTGTATATAAGTGTGATTAAGAGAGGTTGTAACCAAAGTGTTATTAAATCCTATCATCCTAACTAGAACCCGTCATTCTTGTCACGCGTATCATCCTACACGTGACAATCTTAAAGTAGATTAGGGTAATAAGGGGTATGTGGTAGCATAGTTGGCTTAGGCACTATGATACAAGGGGAAAGGTTGTGGGTTTGAGTCCTAATGGGTGTATTTTTCTCAATTTACCTAATTCTTCCAGCAGCATTATGGCCCTGGGGTTGACTCAGCCTCTAACAGAAATGAGTACCAGGAATCTTTCTGGGGGGTACCAGCATCTGTGAGCCAATGGTCTAAAGATGTGGGGGCCTCAAGGTCTCACAACGCTATGGGCCTCCACGGCCTGTTACAGGGATAACTTTACCATTTACCTTAGGGAAATAAAATGTGAGGGACTGGAATGGATGTCTTGAGATAAGATCCAGTGGTGGAGACTTGTATGATAATGGCATTTGCATTCCAAATTTATGCAGTGCTGTTACATCAGTGTAACAAATGATAAGAGAGATGACAGAATGTATTATTTTTCTCTCTCCAATCCTGTAACTTCAACCATGTTGACTTTTGTTTGACACTACCACAAAAGGGTTAATGCATTAATTAATTTAGTATGGTTAATGTTACACTGTGGCATCCTGTTGCAATTTTCACTTAGTGTCGATTAGTTTTTTTACAGTTTCACATGTGACACTATGTTCTATAAAATTTACTGACTTTAAATGTTTACAAGTCCATTGCTATATGTTTCGGCCAATGTGGTCATCATCAGGTGTTAGAAATTACTGTGTGAGGAAACTTCTGTCTTCTGTTGTTGCTTATTTTGTTAATATGCAAGTCCTCTCAATGCACATGTGTCTGAAACATGTGTAAATTTTCTATTAGAATTCATGTATGCAAAGTCTTTTATGTATAGTGTAATTACTTATTTGTATATACACAACAGGAGAAAACACAACCCACCAACCCAAATAATTTAACACCTGATGATGACCACATTGGTTGAAACATGTAGTGATGATCTTTTAAACTTTTTAAAGTGAATATTTATAGACCATAGTGTTACATATGAGACTAAAGAACTATGTTTCTTGAGGGATAAAACCCTCACAAATAACTAGCTAGAACCTGAGATATGTGGTCTTCAAAGTGATAAATATTAAAATTATGGACTTCTGAATGTGACGCTATGTAGTCTGGCAGAGAGGTCCAATTGTTTTAATGGAACCTGCTGCAGCAATCTTCACTTTGAAGATGGACTGCGCCTCAGAAGACTGTAATATTTGATATAAGATGTACTTATAATATCTAAAGTAACTTAAAAATAAGCCAGAAGTACTTGTCGATCCTCCTTTCCTTGGCTTTGCTCCAAGAATTTACAGAGAGTAGACCGTAGCTGCAGATGTGGCTGGCGACATTCATTCAGAGATGGTGCATGATCAGTGACTAGGGCTTGTAATGCTGACAGCAAGTGCTCCAAAGCTGGCTGGCAGTCCTCACTCACCAACCCCACCAGCTGCTCCACAAAACCCATCTTAAACAATTCATCTGTAACGAAATAATAATCATAATCATCAACATCAACATCAACAACAACAACAATACCACCACCACCAGCAGTAGCACTGTCACAATTCTCATCTGAACTGTTCATTATTAAAACATTAACACAAACAGAAGATGGCAGCAGTAAAATTTATGCAGAGCTGGTATTACAGAACTGATCTGTGCTGGAAAATTCTGCTCTTGAAAGCTGTGCTGCTTAGTATATATTCTTCTATGAGGGCTATCTGGAAACTAACTTCTGTTATTTTAGTTGCGTGAGGTAGCATCGCATGACTCACTGCCTTGTAAACTATCACATAACTGGTCGCCTGGTGTTTGTTCTTGTCTATGCAGAGTGAGTTATAATGTTCCCTGCGATTGATAATCCCACAGCTGGGAAATTCATGCTGTTATCTGCTTTCTTCACATAAAAACATGAATGCCATGGAAATCCATCATGAATTATGAACAGTGGTCTATGGCCAAAATGTAATAAGTGAAGCAATTGTATGTCCAAAGGTAGGTGAACAAATGTTCATGATGAAGAGCTAAGTGGTTGGCCATCTGAGTGAGCTATAATCTTGTTCAGAGTGTTGACCAAAAAATGTGTGAAAATGGTGCTTCATAATTTCAGAACTTGTGTGTGAATATCCACAAATTTCATGCACTCTTCGCTATGACATTATCATAGTCAGGCTAGGTTATGATCACAAGTTCTGCGCAAAATGGGTTCTGAAAATGTTCATGGGTGTGCACAAAACACAGAGCACAAAAACTGTGATGAATTTCTTAACACTTTGCGGACCGCGCACCCTTTAAAAGGTTTTTTTGCTTTTAAACATGGTGGACTGTTCGCATGTTAACAGGTTTTTAGACCACAATAAGTTGCAACACACTATACATGGCTCTGGCGCCAACTACATTGCACACAACCACCTGCAGATGTGTGATAAGACTCTGCAATGTTTAGTTACCAGTCAGTAACTTGACCTCGATGTTTACTTAACCAACTATAAAGGAAAATGCTTTGCCTTCTTCAAGCTGTGTGTATCAGCCAGTAGCTAGTGGGGAGAATGGACCAAGGACAAATTCTCCTCCGATGACCTAGCTGACCTGCCTTGTGAGACGTGTAGTAATGGATTGTCATTCAGACAGCGACAGTGATGGGGGACAACAAAGAATTGTGGCCACAGACAGTAAAAGTGACAGTAGCTCCGACGATAATGCAGGTAATAACATTGCACGTAGTAACATTGCAGGGACAGCAAAAAATCTAAACCCTGATTCAAAATTGAAATACAAAGCATTTCTGATGAATGTGGCAAAGGCCTGGGCTGACATCCAATGTAGTGCTCCATGATAACATGTGTCCACATACACCTGCTAGCACTCGAGAACTGCTGCAGCATTTCAACTTGGAGTTGTTTGACCACCCTCCTTACAGCCCTGATCTCACTCCAAGCGACTACTGCCTATTTACCTCCCTGAAGGACTGACTGGGATCACAGTACTTCAACAGTAATGAGGAGCTGATGGGAGGAATCAAAACATGGCTGAGCTCATAGGCAGCAGACTTCTTTGACACAGGCATACAGAAACTTACTCCCTCTTATAAAACGTGCCTCAATTCCAGAGGTGACTATGTTGAGAAGTCACTTAAGTATGTATGTATTTGTTGCACATAATAGAACTTTCTTTCTCATTGGTACAAAGATTATGTTTTTGGACATCATCAATTGTCTTGTCTTCATCTAAAAACCATTGTTTATTTTTCAAAAAACATCACTTTGGAGACTGGATTCTGTCTCTGTCTTCAGGTGAAACCTATTCAGTTGTGCCCAATTGAAAGACTTAGTCCCTATCGCCGGGTCCGGAGAAATTTTATATTCTCTCAAATAGTTTCCCAAACTCTATTTATATACACCTCAGTGTCTAAGTTTCCCAAAGCTATGAACCTATTTCATATTTCAACATGACACTGCTCTTTACGCTTTATCTTGTTTAATTTCTTGAGATTGAACCTCTCCATATTAACTCTGTGCGTTGTTTGTTTACTCATTGCCAGTATCTCCCTAAATTTTACCACCACCAGCAGATCACAATCTGCTACCCTGAACAATTGGACATCAAGTATACCTGAATGCAAGCTCCTGTCTATCAAAATATGGTCGAGTTGGTTGTAAGGCTTTCCATCACGAGATGTCCAAGTAAATTTATGAATGTTACAATGTGGGAACATTGTACCTTTGACAGTAAGATTTTTGGATGTGGCAAATTTTGCTGCTCTAACTCCATTATCATTACTGATTTCATGCAAACTCTCATTCCAAACTGTTGGTTTGGAACTGTCTCCCCTATCTACTTTGGTAACGAAATCTCCAAACAACATTTTTATATTGTATTTAGGGTATTTATCAAATACATGTTCTACTTCTTCGTAGAACCTTTCAAATCATCATTTTTATCTTCTGTTGGGACATGAATACTCAGAACAATGATATCTCCCAATCCACCTCTTAGTATTATGTATGACATCATATTACTAATGAACTTTACCCCCTTAACTGCTGATATGATTCTCTTATGTATGGGGGGGGGGGAACTCTAATTCACGATTCTCATTCCGATTTCCATTGGAAAATGTTTATTCACCTACTGGTTCAGTGCCATCTCTGTCCCATCAGACCTCTTGTATTCTGATATTTCTTCCACCGCTGTCCTTAGTGAACCTGCCCTATATACTTATAATATTCCAAGTGCCAAATCTCATTATCTATTTTCTATCACTTAGGTCGTTTATCCAAAGAATCCATCCAGGTCTGCAGCTTCTTCTGATCTTTCATAACAGGCTTATTTTTTATGTTGTGGAGTTGTTAGCCCCACACCCAACCCCCAAGCTGGAGGACCACCCCTTGTCAGCTGTCTGCAACTGCTTATTCAATATATTTGCAGCTACCCTCCATGTGACTTAACATATTGTACTGAAAAATGAGAAACAATTAGTGCAAGGTCAAAATTATGCCTACTGCACAATACTGTGACATTTCAGTGCATTGCCAGACCACAGCTACTAAACATGTTCCAACAAGCATAACAGAAGGATGTCATCTCTAGGCCATGCCCAAAATATGAACACACAACAACAGAGTAGGCTGTATTTTCCACGTCCACAGCGATGTCTCGCAGTGGTGGGTGGTGGTCATGTGATATACGAGGGGGGACCCAAAAATAACCGGAATTTATTTTTGTTATTTTTTATTTTTGCATTTTTATTGAACTGTATATTAGTCCCCTTCAAAGTATTGTCCATGTGCATTAATGCACTTGTCCCAACGCTTTTGCCACTGCTCAAAACAGTGCTG